TTACAAAAGTGATGAAATTGTTGTTGGACAATCGATTTCATTTATGAATCTTAAAGCTGCCATTTCAGTCGAGTTGGAGATCGATGAGATTATGTAAAACTTGGAAATCAGATACATCGTAGAAGGTAATAACTCATCTCCATTGAAAATTAAGAACTACATGGGTGTAAAACTGTATTAAAGATTAAAAAAACGAGCCTGAATTTGCAATATATAAGTCAGGGATACATTGCAAATTTTGATGTATCAAACATCTGATAATGTATCATAGTATTAATTTTCTTGTTGATTCTTGTTAGTATTAAGATATTTTCATATGTGGGTTAGAGTTCTGAAACATCCTCCATTTCTTGTTAGTATTAAGAATATATTAATGAGTACAGTTAAATTAGTAACTTGCAGTGTATCTTATGTGTGCTCTGATACATTCTAGTAAATTTTGTGTATCTGATACACACCGAATAATACATGTTTTGAATGATACACCAATGAACATTATTTTTGTATCAATAATTTCACATAATTACAACAACTCCACACATGATACAAAAATGCCCACCAGTTAAACATGATACAAAAATTGTCCAATCCTTAAACATGATACAAAGAAAGGAGTACAGTTAACTTAGTAAATGGTCATTTATCTTATGTTTGTATCTGATACATTTTAGCAAACTTTTGTATCTGATGCATACTGAAAAAATACATGTTTTGAATGATACACTATCGAACATTATTTTTGTATCAATAATTTCAGAAATTTTGACCCCCTTTTTTGGTGGTTTTAACAACCTTTGCTTTCCAGGTTGAAGAAAAAAAAAATTGAAAACAAATGATGAACCCGATCTCCAGTAGCAACACAAGTTTAGCTATCACATTCCGATCTGAACTGGCGTCGATAGCATGAATCCAATCTCCGGTAGCAGCATAGATTTGGTTGATGAATTTCGATATAAACTGGCGTCGGTAGTCATTGACATAATACTGTGATTGCTCAAAAGAGGAGATATGAGCAGTTAAAGTTTTGAGAGAAATTATTTTGACAGGAAAGAGACTGATTTCAAATTTCAAACTAATGGAGCAATTAACTGAAAAGATCATGGAAATAAAAATTGGGAGAGATTTGTGGAGTGAAATCAGAAAGTGATAAATGTGGGTTTGGGGAGTGGGGAGTTTTATGTATCTAGAATTTTAATTTTGGGAGTAAAATAAGGGATTTTGGAAATTTTTAGAAATGATAGGGAATAATGGGAATTATGAAACATAAAGATGTGTATATAGGTAATTAATCCAAATTAAAATATTATATTATTTTATTTATAAGATTACGTAATTATTCAGAAGCTGGAGAGAAATGAGACAATATGTGGGTCCATCTTCTCTTTGAAATGTAAGATGAATTTTTTTTCATTTTCTCAAAAGCGACTATGTCCTAATTTTAATAGACAGAATTACTAATAAATATTAACAGCGTATCACATGAAATTAATCAAAATAAAGACGTGACACAGCTAATGTCATACAACAGCTATGGAAACAAAATTAAGTCCACAGCTAATTAAGTAGTCATAGACAAAAGAAAAAGATACTTTTGCTCCAAGGAAGACGTGTTTCCAATTGCAGTCATCCTTTTGTTTCTAAAGGAGAATCTCATGTAACTTTATTATGCAGTCAAGAGGCATATATTTCAGTCAAAGAAAAATTATTGGTAGGTCTCACATTTGAACCGAAAAAAAATTGATAGGGAGTATTGTTTTCCCTTCAAAATTCAAATAATAAAATCAACATCACATTTCCACAAACATATACAAACTTTATTTGCAAAATCATGGGAATAATCCTTGCAAAACCAAATCAAATAATACAATAACAATAATGTATTTAATCAAATCCCAAAGACCAATTTCATATATCTCCAATATAAACAAAAGAATTACTCAAAATATATTTATAGACCTCATTTTAATAATCCATATCGTCCATGGCATCATCGTACCCTTGATCATAGGCATCCGTATCATCAGAAATCATTTCACCAACCAACATACCACCAAGCAATCCTCCCGCCAAACCCAATCCCATTCCTGCTCCCATCCCTCCAAGATTGCTCTTTTTCTGTGGCTTTTGCACTTGTTGCACCACGGGTGGGTATCCTCCGTAAGCTTGTTGTTGTTGTTGTTGCTGTTGTTGTTGCTGAACATATCCATATCCAGACGGTGGATATCCTGTTGGCGGATATCCTGATGTTGGATATCCAGCTGGAGGATATCCACCACCGTTATAACCAGCAGGAGGATATCCTACTCCTCCTGCAGGTTGTTGATACGCCATGCCATGATTGGGATTCGGCGTGCCATACCCCATGCCAGGTGGTGTCATATTATTAGCCCCTGTCTGGCCATATGGATAAGCCGTAACAGGCATATTTTGATTGTAGTTGCTATTAAGCTGATTTACATTTTTGTACATCGGTTCAGAAGTTTGTTCATATTTCTTCCCAAATTTATAAGAAAACTTGAGAGTACCTCTAGGTTTACCATTAACAGGGGTAAAAACTTGATACTCCACAAATTTTTCGGCGCTGCCATCAGGGCCGGAATTAGATTGGCCGAAGATATCATTTATAGGGATTGAGACAATTCCGATATCCTTATCACCGAAAAAGCGAGAAGATCTGATACGGAAACAGAGGGAAAGGCCAGACTTTGTGAGAGAAGGTTCGTCTAATGTGAATTTCATTGTGTAATTCCATTTAGGACTTGTTCCACCTTTTTTATCAATGAAGGTTCTCTTAGTATTTTTTGCATAACCTAAGATTGAAATTTCGACATAAACATCCATGGTAGAAAAGTAATTGACATTCTTTATGCCTGCGGCGGAGATCACCGTAACATCAAAGGGACGCCAATCCATTATATGGTTGAATTCAACAGATTCAGAAAAGAAAAGGGAATTGATTAAAGAATTTCTTCTTTTTTCCCTTTTTTTTTTCTTGTGCTGTTGGAAGAATTTAATGGTGAAAATGTGATAAGTATGTTAATGAAGAGAGACAAAAGTAATTGCTTAAAGTTGAATCAAATGTGTGAACTAGATTAATGGTCTCTATCTTCTCCTCCCTTCTTTCTCGCTAATGAGAATTTCAGCTGCTGTCACACAATTTCTCCTTCATCCTATTATCGTGGAAAATATTTTTCTCATAAACACAAAATCTTTTGAATCTCACTCCAAGAATATGTGATCAGGCATTCGTATTTATAATACTAGCAAGCTAAATTAAATTAGAATCGGAAGATTTATTCCAATATGAATAGACAAACAAATCCCAACTATAACCAAATAAAATATATTATTCCAACATATCATACTAAATTAATTCGGTATGGTACGTCATTTTAAAGTTAGGTTTTGATATTTTTATGATATGGTAAATCAGTAATCATATAATTTATTCGACTTTGAGTTACATATGCTTGTATAAAGAAAATTAATACTTTGATTTTTTTTTTAAAACGTTTCAATTATTATTTTATACTAACACCTTACATATATGTAGAGATATTCAAAAAGGCACACCCAATTCCTTTTGTTAACCAAGGACACAAAAAAGTGTTTCAATCAAAGATATAATAGTCAAAGTTTCATGGTTTAAATAACTAATTTTGTGCTAATAGTGATTTATATATCTTTTAGTAATATATGAGTTGTATATATAACTATTCATTTTGATAAAATATTCGGTATTTCTTTCTACAAATACTGAATAACGTATCAATACCCAAAAAAAATTTAAATGCATGCCAAACATCATAGCTAATTTTTTTATTTTTTATTTTTTGGAACCCCAGGATAACCCGCAGCTGCTACAACCTCTGCCACAGCCTCTGCCCTTCGGGTGAGCACTTTGTGCGCACTGGGTAAATTCCTCACTGTGTAATAGCCTGCAAATCACACAAGGGATGTAAACCGCATTAGGCAAGCCCTATGCGACAGGCTCGACTCAGAAGGCATTGAGGGGGATCGATCCCGGGTCATCCGTGTGGATAACCACCCTCCAAACCAACTGAGTCATCCGAAGGACATCATAGCTAATTTCATAATATCAAAATTGTAATATAAAAAAATATCAAAATCACGATGTTAAAAATACATTGATTCCGATATGGGCAGATCTATAAATATATATGGAGGTGCCACGGCCCCCGGACTGGTGTCTGTTAAATTAGCGTGTCAGCCCATTGGCTCACGGCCTCATAAGATAACCAAATAACCCAATTCACAAGCCTGCGATGATTGGAGTTGCTTAGAAGCTCAGTCTTCGTTGATTCTAATTTTTTCATGATAGAGATCATATACATATAGTTTAATAACTAAAATAATACATATGATAATGTAAAATAAATAAATCATATTGCTGATGATTAGCTTGTCTCTGGTGCAAATGAAGCATATAACATAATCTAAACGTAATTTTTTTCAAACATGAGAGTTAATTTCGAAGAATGATTATTTAAATTTTGAAATGTAAAGTTTATTTTATCAAAACATCACATAAAAGATATTGAAACCAAATTTTAGAATACCTTTAAATGTTAAAGAGCAAATAAACTAAAGAAAAGCTTGTTTGATTATTCCTATTTCCATATAAATAATACTAACACAATGTTTGCAACAATCTTTAAAATTTTGAAGTGACAAAAAATAAATTACAATTACAAATAAAATATTGTAAAACAGAATATTTTATTGATAAATATAGTAGGTACAATTATGTTCCTCTCTTGATTCTTCTCTCATAAGATTTATCCATGATTTGAGGATTGTTGGCATAATTCTCGAACTAAGATGATTTGAATTTGATATCTTTATGAATATTCCATGAAGATGTCTCTTTAATAAATAGGCATAAGTTAGGATTTAGGATTAGAGTAGCCTCCAAAAAATCTAAGTGAAATCGAATGCTTTTTATAGAGTCTCAACTAGAATTGAATATGAACTAGGGTTTAGGGTTGAGTAGCCTCCAAAAAATCTAAGTGAAATCGAATGCTTTTTATAGAGTCTCAACTAGAATTGAATATGAACTAGGGTTTAGGGTTGAGTAGCCTCCAAAAATACTAATTGAAATTGAACACACTTTGTAAAGTTCCAACTCAAATTGAACATAATTTGTAGAGTTACACAAAATTTCAATATTTACACATTATTTTAACATACACAAATGGGATAATGTTAAATGTTATGTGAATATGATTGATGTAGAATATTACATTTCAGCCAACTTGATCAAATCACTGTTTATGAGTAATTAAGAATTATTGTGATTCATAATTTCAATCATACAAACAAGCATATCATATAAATTGACATTATTATTGTTATTAAAAAGTAAATAAAATTTATAAAATATCATTCAAATCCTCTTATTCTCCGTCGACAATAATTAGATTAAACTAAAAATTATTGACCAAATATAAAACTTAATAAAACAATCCCAGGATTTAAATACCCATAAAGAGAAGTAGAAAATCTTAGAAACTAACTAAAATATAGTAGAAGTGGGACCCTTTAAAGTTTAATCTAGAACAAGTGAAAGAAAACAAAAAAGCAGCAGTAGAATGTCTACAAGTAAAGCTAAACGGAACCTTCTGCCCGTAAATTTTCTTCTACCTTACACTTGCACCCCCTATTTTTCTTCAATCATTTCATTCTCATCCTATTTTCTTCTCTCACCGCCTCTCTCTCTCTCTCTCTCTCTCTCTCTACGCTGCAACACGCAATTCCTCCGCCATCTGCCGCCGTTCTTCGCCCTACCTCATGACCTCTACCCTCTCTGCCTCCTCCGCTTGGCCCGAAAGCCCTTTCGTTCCCCCTCCTATGTCGGAAAATCCTCCTGATTCCGATGATCGTTCCTCTCTCTCTGACCTCTCCGATATCTCAGCTGCCGTAACTGATGCCGTTGATGATGATGAACGTCGCTCTCAAACCTCGGTTACCTCTCCCACTAATACAGCCGCCACTAGCGTACAGAACGTGAACCCTAGCCCTAATTCTATTTCTCTTCCCGTTGATTCCTCTACTCCGAATGTCCTCTACCTATCCTTCAACCAGGATTACGGATGCTTCGCGGCAGGCACCGATCGAGGGTTCCGGATCTACAACTGTGATCCGCTCCGTGAGATTTTCCGCCGCGATTTTACCGGCAATTCTAATGGTGGAGGTGGAATTGGTGTTGTTCAGATGCTTTTTCGGTGCAATATTTTGGCGTTGGTTGGTGGAGGTCCGGAACCTCAATATCCCTTGAATAAGGTGATGATATGGGATGATCATCAATCTAGGTGCATCGGCGAGCTATCGTTTCGATCTGAGGTGAAATCTGTGAGGCTGAGAAGGGATAGAATTGTGGTTGTTTTGGCCCAGAAGATATTTGTTTACAACTTTTCGGATTTGAAACTGTTACATCAGATTGAGACAGTGGCGAACCCCAAGGGTTTGTGTGAAGTGTCACAGGTATCGGGATCAATGGTTCTGGTTTGTCCGGGTCTTCAGAAGGGTCAGGTGAGAGTGGAACATTATGCTTCTAAGAGGACCAAGTTTATAATGGCACATGACTCGAGGATTGTGTGTTTTGCGCTTACAAATGATGGGAGGTTGTTGGCTACTTCTAGCAGTAAAGGGACTCTTGTCAGAATATATAATACTTTAGATGGATCTTTGGTCCAAGAGGTATACACTTACTCTGAATTAATGGTCATACTTTGTTGAGTTGTTTTGTTTACATGGTTAATATGGCCGTTTTTTTTTATTTATGGTTAATATGGTGGTGTCAATTTCCGATAGAGAAAGTAATCCAAGGTGTGTTGGGAATAGAGAAAAATGCTTTTCATGGAAAATGTGTTCTTAAGGAGATAGTTGTCCCATGTTTGGCTAGGTAATAAAGTATATGACAAATGATACTTGTACCAGTAAGAGCATAGGGTGTAAGGATAGTGTTTTGGTACTACTTTTAGATACTAAAGGTTGACGGTAATGTCTTAGTATTATTGAAGCAACTGATGTAAAGTAGGAACTATGATATTGGAAAATAAAAAATGAAGCCCACTTGTGCCTTGTTTTGGTGGGTGACGTTTTCCACAACGGGAGGAATACATGGCAAACATTTTCTATGTTTTAAGTAACCAAGGTAGCCAAACATTTGAAAGATATTTCAGAAAAAGCATTTTCTGTCACTCCACAGACACCATAAGTTTGACGGCGTTTTCTTCCAAATGAGCTGCTGCATCTGCAATATCTTACACGGGGATCTCAAGTATATTTCTTGTAGCCCTTGGACTTCTCATAGGTATTTTTAGTGAACTTAACCTTCGGCAAAAAATTTGAAAACCATGATATGAAGCTAGGGTGGTTTTTCTGGCTAATAAGCTCAACATGTGTGGAGTTCTTCCGAAATGGAACTTGGGTGGTTTTCCAATAGCTGTCTTATGGGTGCAACATCAGCAAAGATCATTGAAATGAAACTAGATTGCTCTCATAACCAGTTATTGATTGCCTTAACTTACATGGGTCTCTGAAGTCTAGATGTTTAATCATTTTGTTAGATGGTACTATAGCTTCCCTGTAAATGGTAAGGACAGGTTTTTGGACTTTGTTAGCTCCCTGATTTTAGTTTAGACTTTACTGTAATGGAGCTAAATCTTTTGTAACCTTTTGCTCACATTACATTTTACTGATCCCTTCCAATGATTACTATATACTTCATTAAAAAAAAACAATTACATGTACTTTATTTGTACATTGCTTTACTATATGAATAGAATAACTAAGACGATGTACTTTTTTATTTTCTAGAGAATCAGTTTGCCTTGGTATTTGGCAAAACCAAGTAATTTGCTCATTGTAATATTTTCCTGAGATTTGAAGTTTCCATCTTCATATATATGTTTGATGAAGTTAGCCTATCAAAAAGTACAAGGAAAGTGGCCTCCATATACTTGAGAAAAATTTGGGCAACTTCACAACCAGTCTACCTAAAAGTATGAAAAAAAATGAAAAGTAGGTTGATGTCCTACTCAATGCTAGTTACGGTATTCATGCATGAAACACGATCAAAATATTAGTATGTCCTTCCAATGCTTATTGCTCTTCCTCTTTTGAAGGACTAGCAAGTAGCAACTACGACAAATAATTTGGACAGAGACTCTGCATCAGGCATAAATAATCTTTTACATGCATTGCAAATGCCTTCTATTGATACCATTTCACTGAAAATTTTGAATACCTTTTGATTGTCAATGAACAATCTGGTGTGTTATTGGCTTATTGCTAACAACTGCCACTTTAGAAATGGAATGTGCTCTTTGGTTTTTAGTTTTTGATCTTAAGCATGTTTTTTCGCTTAATACAGGTCAGAAGAGGCGCAGATAGAGCAGAAATTTATAGCCTTGCTTTTTCTCCAACTGCACAATGGCTAGCTGTTTCCAGTGATAAAGGAACTGTCCATGTGTTCAATCTAAAGGTTGATTCAGCAGCTTTAGGAGTTGATAGACCAAGAGGGGCATCTGAGTCAAATGCTACATCTCCATCAGCTGGGTCTCATCTCTCCTTCATAAGAGGTAATGGGCCTGTTATATTATTGTCTTTAGTTACTAGGCTCTAAATGCAGATGTTCCCGAGGAAGTGTGTGATATTTGTAGTGTCAGAGGTAGTTCTGTTATTCAGAGAACTCCATGAAGTGCAAGCATCTGTTTGTTATAATGTCCTTCATGTCCCATGGAACTGTTATCTTATGTATAGTGTCCTGCATTTACTTTAGTGCGTGGTTCAATTATTTCTTCTCTGCTATAACTGTGATGTTGCAACACAAGGAATTTTGAAAACAACTTTTTGGCATTGGTGAAAGAGCTGCCATAAGAACTGGACAGAAGACATTGATGCTATACCTGTTTGGGTCTAAAATTTGCTCGAACTAGGAATCTGATGGAGGTTTTGTCGTGTTGTCTACTAGAAAATGTAGGAATTTGTTATTCCAAGTATATGATCCTTCGGAAGAATTAGATGAAGGCAAGTAATCTGAAAGATAAATTATGCTTAAGAAAAACATGCATTACATTAAGTTCAGCATATTTGCACCCCTAAATTATACGTCTTTCTTAATTCTAAGGACTTTTATGTGCAGTTAATTTTGAAACATATTTTACTGCCATCATATGGATTAGATTTTTTTAGGAAGAGGTTCTTGCAATTTCAATCTTTTCTTGGTTTATTTTTTAGATGACACTGACTGTAGGTTTCCGTCGAACAGTCAGAACAGTTTCTTCGATTTTGTAATTTTGTCGCCAATATACTCGGGACAGAATTTTTTGGAGACGTTGCAAAAGAATTAGTTGGAGAGTTTTGTTAATAACTCAATATTTTAAGCTTATTGACAGACCTTTGTGGTGTTCCTCCATGCAGGTGTGCTACCGAAGTATTTCAGCTCTGAGTGGTCTGTGGCTCAGTTCCGCTTGCAAGAAGGTCTGCAGCACATTGTGGCCTTCGGTCACCAAAAGAATACGGTTGTGATTCTTGGCATGGATGGCAGGTAAGGGTGTTGTTGTGTAGTCCTCGTATCATTTTTTTAATGTTGTCCCAATTTTTGTGACAAGTGAATCACATCTTTGGAAGTTCGATATTAATGCTTTGATGAATTGGAAATGCAGTTTCTACCGATGCCAGTATGATGCAGCAACTGGTGGGGAGATGACCCTGTTGGAACATCATAGTTTCTTGAAGTCCGAGGAGAACTTCTAACTTGGGAAGCTAGCTGGGTGCATGCTACCCTACTTCTTGTGTGGCTTTTGTTTTTATTGTATCTATTTATAATTTCGCAGGTGGACATGGTAGTGACTGTAAATATGCAGACATAATCCAAAAAAAAAAATGTACATATATAAAAGATGAGAACAGGTCGGCTTTTGTAACAACCCAAGTTACTGTTGTGTCATCGTAGAACTGAAGTATTGTTATGTGCATGTTTGTCATCGTAGTGCTGAAGTATCTATTTAGTTATTTGTCTGGCTCCTTACTCTTCTGTTTCTCTATATAAAAAAAAACTATGGCCAGTACATGAGGCTGCGGATGGAGTATATCATTAATGGTTTCTGGTGAAAGTGTGCACATAATTTGACGCTTCCTAAAAGCTTAATGCAAACATGGCAACTAAAAAGTGCCAGCACCACAGAAAGCAAACAACATCAGGGAATGGTTGTTTAATACCGTCAATTATATAGTGACTGTAGGTCTAACTAGTTTCATTTTTATATATATCAACAACTATGATCGGCCTTCAATTTTCTAGTCCATAGTCTAGGAGAAAAGACGCAGACGTCTAGAATTCCAATGGACTTTTTAAACAGTTTTAACTGGAGAGCTAAAGCCTAGTGAGTGAAAATGTAGGAAGGTGATGACTAATAATTTGAACTAAACTGGAATAGCAGTCGTGAAAATCCTACCAAAATAAGTGGCTTAAAGGAGCTCTATCTCTGAGTGTATACCATACAAATGGCACTCTAGCAAAATTACTTCTAAGCAGGAATTCTTAGGAATATGTTCATAACCTTCTCTGCTTGTGACAAATTACTGAATAGTGTTATTTCTCTTCTTTATCTTTTTAGAATGTACTTGTGTACACATTAACATATGACTGGTCCTGCCAAGGTGCTTTGTACCTCCTTTATACCACAAACAGGCATCCCATAAAAGAGAATTGGTGAAGGAAAAGATGGACTTGCAAAAGATGCCTCTAGTGGTAGCCTTTTTTCTGTTTTGACTATTTTGGAAGAAGCACCACCTCTTGTTTCGTCTATCTTGGCAGCTGACCAGCGTGGAGAAGAAAACGAAGATACACTCCAGCTGCATGCAGAGTTTCTAATAGCATAGGCTCTAGTAATGATACCGCTTTTTGTGCTACTCCTAGTAGTAATTTTTTGGGCAACAATGACCCATTGGATCTAGACAGGCAACTAGAGCCGCAGAGTAACCTAACAGTAATCCATGGTCTGATTTTCAGGATCAGATTTATGGTCCAAAAGTTGCCAGACAAAGGATCTGCACCTACAGACAAACAAATTGAAGGAGACTTACAGAAGGGGACACTATGTCTATCTTATTTATTTCACTAATCTCTACTCTAAATAGCACATCTATAGCAAAACTGTCAATTAGTGATAATATAGACGTATCTGTACTGCATATTTATACGCTTCCATATCAGATACTTAAACGCATACTCATTCATTTTATACAGGTAGCAAATGGTATTCTACTATTCTTCATATAATATGTAAGGATAGTTACATTGTTCCTCAAGAGTGCTATAGCATCTAATTTCCAAGATATAGAAGACGGCAAAACATTCAAAATAAGCAGCAATTTACCTCCTCAATAAACTTGCCTAGGAAACAAAAGAAATGTTACATTGGATGCGAAATCTTTACAGCACTAACTACTAACCAATGCACTTTACAGCACTAAAAGTGAAATTGATCCTATAATGTACTCTCTCTGCGTGTCTCCGAGACCAAGATCACTACTTTTAACACAGCTGCAAGGAAAAAGGAACAACAAAATAGTTAAAAAGGACAGAAATTTTTCCTTGCAGATGCAAACACTTGGTCAAACTAGATATATTAGGTCTCACAACAATCCAAGTTTCCCAAGTACACTTTATTAGGCATGGTCATCCACATTTGATCTATGGCACAGAATTTATACACAGTATATGAGCAGCTGCATGTTCTGATCATATACTTCACAACACTATAATGGCTAAGCCAATCCCAAGATGAAACTTACTTGAAGTGCCTTCTTTCGCAGCTGGAAGTGCACTAACTAGATTTCACTTTACAGTAAAAAACCCAGAAAATAAATCAGTACAGACAACAGTCCCTGCAAACACATGTAAATCTTCTCAAGCTTACATCGCTGATCAACCTGCAAAAAATATAATTTGCAAGGCTGGCTCATACATACATGGATAGTCACAAGTATGTGAATTGAATTCATACAAGTAGAGGGAGGTGATTGTACATGACTGTCATAGCATAATGGTTTGTGTACATGGCTTGAAAATGTACACAAACTTCCATCCATCTGGTGGTACCTGATATAATGGGACTAAATGAAAAATAGCACTCTACTCTTGACATTTTGCTCAGTCTAAACTTCCATCCATCTGGTGGTACCTTGAGTAGTAAAGACTTGAAAGAATCTGATGTACCTTGTTCTATCCATGGAACACCAGACATAAAACTTGCCACAAATTTCAGTAACCACACAAAAGAACACTAGCAAAAAGGAAAATAGATGCCAGATATCCCTGAAGAGAAAATAAGCTACTAACCAATGCACTTTACAGCACTAAAAGTGAAATTGATCTTTAATTAACTCTCTATGCGTGCCTCAAAGTCCAAGATCACTACTTTTAACACAGCTGCAAGGAATAAGGAAGAACAGAATAGTTAAAAAGGTCGCAGAAATTTTTCCTTGCAGATGCAAACACTTGATCAAATTTAAATCCCCATGACAGAACATCAAGTACTACTAATTGCTACAAAAACAATAAGCTTACAAACAATCCAATCCGCTCCTTCTACCCTTCACACCTATGCTTACTTCTTGAAAGCTGAAAGAGAAAGCAACCAACAGGATTGTAAAATCCTAGACTTGTTTTATATCAAGAGGCATTGAGCAATGCTAGAAACAACATTGCACACACTATTCCTGGAGAACTGGCCTTCAGTTAACAAAAACTCTTTGAACGAAATACCGAATGAAAGAGCAAATCCACAATATTTCAAAGAAAAGATAAATGGGACATGTAAAACAGCTTTCTGAACCGAACTAGAACAACGCATCAAAATTTAATTAAAAGCAACAGATATGTTATCCCTGCCACTACAACAAAAGAGTACAATGTTATCACACAAATGAAGATAATGCAATTAGGGACAAATAATACGGAATTGTTTTGCTTGTTCACTCAGTTGTTTTGGCCTACTTTGGATTACAACACAGGGACCAAAAAACCTCGATACTGCATCTATGGATTTTAGTCATTCATTTTAGTACTTTCTATATTTTCAATTAGACAAGCAAAGCGACGCAAAATTTCACCTTATAATCAATCAAAATATCAAAGCACATTGTGAACACAAAAGAACTGCAACGAGATGATAGAAAATGAGATAATTTCTATTATATTTCCAAGCACGTTACACCAAGGTTATCAAACCATAACAGAAATCTACATCCTACTACTAGAAGTACCGATAAACTAGACAAAAGATTGCCGCATATTTAACCCGACGATGAAACTTCTAAATGAGTCTTATGCCTTCTTTGGCGACTTTGCTGCCTTGGCTTTAGGTGCCTTCTCATCGGCAACTGCGGATTTCTTAGGCAACAGAATTGGGTTAATGTTAGGAAGAACACCTCCACTTGCAATTGTAACTCCAGCCAACAATTTTCCCAACTCTTCATCATTCCTCACTGCCAAAAGCACATGTCTAGGAATGATTCTGCTCTTCTTGTTGTCTCTGGCCGCATTTCCAGCCAACTCCAACACCTATAAACAAAACCCCATAAATCAATACAAAATCACTATCTCCATATTCAACAGAAAAATACGGATCTGAGAAAAAAATCAAATGGGTTTATTGATTTAATGTGTTTTAGTACCTCAGCAGCAAGGTATTCCAGAACAGCAGCGAGATAAATTGGAGCACCAGATCCTACACGCTGAGCATATCGACCCTTCTTCAAGTAACGACCAATACGACCGACTGGAAACTGAAGACCAGCTTTGATTGACTTGGTGACGGACTTCTTCCTTGGGCCACCCTTTCTTCCTCCGGCACCTTTAGTTGTCTTAGTAGCATCCATTGCTGTGTGAAGAAAATCTTAAAGAGAGTAATACAGAAGAAAGCTTGAGTGCTTTGATTGAGATTTGAAAGCTGATGAGAAAATGAAAGTGAAGAGTTTATTATTTATAGGGATGAGATGAGATTGCCACGCTGGCGATCCGCGTGAGGACCATCTAATTTTAACGAAGGGGATTCGTTTCTGTTAATGTGATCTAACGGTTATAAAAAGATCAAAGGAGAGCGATCCTCGTCTAACGCGAATAGCCAATGATTTAGTGACACGTATATGTACTTAAGTGAATTGGTTGAGTAAGTGGTAAAACCGCGCGCGGGGATTTTGAATTTTCGTAAAATTTTAATTGCGCTAAGTTGAGAATTGGTGAATGCTTTAATTAAGGAAATCCTAACTCCTATTTTTATCTAGTTACACATTTAATTAAGAAAATCCTAATTAATGGTCACGATCCACATATCATCGAGATGGTGAAACTAGAGCTTATATGGATCGATTTAGTTATGATTTTTAGCTTATAAGTTCTTTTAAGAAAAAATTACTTGGATGTGTGCTTTTTAATAAATAATTACTGATTTTAGCGATATTTTTTATTTATTACCATTTATAGCAATACATAGCAGTACTATATTAAATCTGCAATATGTATTAAAAGTGAATTAAGTATGCAATATATATGTATTATAACTGTTTTTAAAAATATATTATGCTTGTTTGGTAAGAGGTTGACACATTTTATTATAAATGTATTAAAATGTGTGATAAATGCATTATCCATCAATAAAACTTGTATTATATGTGAATAATAAATTGTTCTTAGTAATATGTATTAAAACTGTATTAAAAGTGATCAAGTGAAAAAAAAATGGTATTGCTATAAATGGTAAATATTTTTTATTTATAGTATATTTATGTAAGTTTTCCTTCTTTTAAACAAACTTCTAATACGTTACATATTGTAAACACAATTGATTCCACATATTGTATTTTCATTTATTTGGTCTGATTGTTATGTTTATTTGGTAGATAGTGAATTGAATAACTTATTAAGCAATTTAGCTCATACATTTCAAATAATAGCAAAAAACAATTGTTTTACACTGTACAATTTAATTTACTAAAAGATTAAAGTACCAATTTGGTTCAACTTGTTCAATCAGTATTAGTAAGCGATATACTACATATGTTTGAATTAATACCCTTAAACATATTACATAATTTATGAATGAATGAGATATATACCTCTCATAATCTATGAAAATCTATATTAACAATATGCATATCTAAAACTTAACGTATTAGATATGTTTATATGATTTGTAGATGATTAAAAAAAAACTATATGGTCTCGACAATTGAATATGGATAATTCAAAAATATTACCAATCTTTGGAGGATGGACATAGAGTCGTATAACATTTAGGTGGTTGATGTTGTAGAACTCATGGGATAAGGATCACTAACGATCTTTTTGATAGCGGTGACTTGGATCGAGACATCTAAAAGCTTACTTGTAGTTCTTTCGGTGTCAACTATAAATACATTTTTATATATTATTTTAATTTATTATTAAAAACTGAGAGTCCAAAAAATTATTTACAACTATGAGAGTATATATATATATATATGCTGATTTAGTATCAATTAAGCGAAATTATCGACCTTAATTATTCCAATACACTATATGATATTGATTTAATATCGGTTAAGCGAAATTAGTAGGAGAATATATAGTTAATTATTTAGTGGGTATGAATGTGAGGGAGTATATGTTTGTAATATTTTGTTGTTTTAAGGTAGTTGCTTAGTTACCTCTGAATTCAAATGAGTTGGGTTCTTAGAAATCAAACCCAACATATTTTTATTTGTTACTTAATATTTTGCATTTAAAAATAACAGGGCTAAAAATCTGACGATGGAAATTAATTTATGAGTGTTATAAAATAAAGCATGTGTAGTGTTATAAAATAAGAAAAAGAGAGACAGAAAGACACAAATGAGTAGTAGTGACTTTTGTTTATTATTGAATGTTTTTTTTTTTTTCAATTACTATTGTCTTTGTGTTATCTTACGAGAAGAGTGCTATAGATATACATGTATATACTTGAACACCAAGTATAATACATAATGAATATCTATTTGCTATGTAAATACTTGGCCATCAAGTATATTATATGGATGGTTAAGTTACAACACATTGTATGCTATGTGTATATCCATCTTACACACAAGAGAAAAGACATTAAAAAACACCTGAAGTTGTCCTAAATTTTTAAAAAGACACCTGAAGTTTGCGGGCGTCCTATTATCCTATGGAACTATTTCAAATCGCAATAATTAAATACTTTTAACCCATTTTCATAATAGTCGTGTTCTCACATCTGGTAGGCACGTGGAGGAGTAAAAATATACCCCCAAACCAGTGTAAAAATGTCATGTGGCACTGACAATTTGAATTTTCTTCTTTATTAAAATACCTACTTCCCATCTTCTCCAAAACCTCCATTGATATATGTTGAAGACCTTTCTATCTACAACCACAAAAAAAATTCTTCATTCTCATAAATTTTCATTTTGCTTTACTAGCTTCAATTTCTTTCTTTTTTTTTATTTATTTTAAAGTTATGAGATTAACGAATTTGTAAATCCTGAAAGTGCAATTGCAAACAAATTTCAAAATTAGATCAGTGAAGAAACATTCAAACTCAAATCAGTCCTAAACTAACACTACATACACTGAATAATAGATAGCACAAGAAGAAAATAACAACAAATCACTATAAAAATGATTTTTCAAAAAATCACTACTATATATAAAGAAAAAAAAAATTAACCAAAATTTGCATTCAAATCAAAAAGCAATTAACATGTGAGCCTTCACTTCTTCGTTTTGACTCCATAATTTAAGAAATTATCACCGCAAAATTAATTTATTGTGACTATTGAAATGCTTAGGATTTTGAACATCAAAGAGAGAGAGAGTAGAGTGAAAATTTGAAAGGGGTTTAGGGTTAAATGGAGTAGGTCATGATTAAAATGTGAATGGGTCAAGATTTTATCCAATTTTTACTAAATGGGTTGAAAAAAATATGTAATTATATTATTAATTGAGGTGAGACTCACGCACGAGAATGCAGATTGTGTAAAAAGTGCGCATGTATTGTGATTTTGAAATGTTTTGTGGGGTAATAGGACGCCCGCAAAGTTAAAGTATCTTTTTGAAAAATCGGGACAACTTCAGGTGTCACTTTATATCTTTTCTCTACCCACAATGCATATTGTGTACATATATGTTACCACAAAATATATTTACGTGGACGTTTATGTTACAACACAATGTATACTTATGTGGACATCCATTTTACAACAACGAGTTATGCATTTGACAAATTTTAAAAAGAATTTTGGAAGCGTGACGTTCATGTGATGCCTCTTCCTCCCCTTCCACCCCCATCCTCCCGTGGTTAGGAGTGGGAATGATATGGTATTTGAAAGTTACGATACCGTAACTTCAGTATTCGATTTTTAAAATATTATATCATTACCATACAAATTTAATTCGGCATAGTTCAATATTTAAAGTTCGTTTTCGATATTCTACAGTATGGTAAATCGGTAACCATAGTTTGTTCAACTTCGACTAATATATACTCGTAAAATAGAGTATTATGACTTTAACAATTTTAAAAAGGTCTCAGTTGTATCATACTAACACATTATACATGTAAAAATACATATTCAAAATAAAGTACAAACAACTCCTTTTGTTAATCAATTACATTCAAAGTTTCAACTTCTAAACATTTATAGTTTATATTGATACTAGGTTGCATATTTGCTAATATTTTAATAATATATATGTTATTTATGTAACTATATACTTTGGTATGATATTCGATATTTCGACATGTTATTTTTAAATACCAAGCATCAAGAATAATTCAAATGTATACCATATACCATGCTAAATATCATAATATCAAAATCATAGTATTAAAATTTCAGTAAGGTATGATAATTCGGTATACCAAAACATGCCCACTCCCACCTATGGTACTTCAATATGAAAAGATCGCAATTGGGTAATAGAAAACTCCATATTTAATTTAAGGCCCCATTTGGCCATGCGATATGAAATCCTAAGATGAAGTTGAAGTTTTGTTGGACATGCAATAGATTTTTTTTATATTGTATGGTTTCTCATAAATATAAAACCCTCACAAGTTATAAAAGTTAAAACTATTAAAATTGTCTCAATTCTTTATACAATCATACCAAATAAGCAAAATGGCATAAAATCATATAATACACTATCACAAAGCTATATATTCTTAAAAAATACAACATTTATTAATCAATCTTCAATCAAATAAAAAAAATAAAAGTGAACATAAGTTGTAGTGTACTCGTTTTTGTTATAATCCTCATAGTACAGACAACCTTCTCACATTGAACTTGCATTTCTCGATCATATGACCTAGAAGGCGAACCAACATTGTTACTTTTTGCTATTTGTAGTCAATTTGATTGGTAAATACATTTGATCAAAAATAATAAAATTGGTGAATATAAATGGTAAAGTAGGGATTGATTTGAAATAAAAATATTTTTTATGTCGATGAGAATAATTGTTATATGAGATATAAATAATTTTAAAAGTAATGATATAAATTATATTTACATATGAAATAAATGGTTAGTAGATATAAACGTGAATTGTTTAAATAATTTTCATTTCTTTCGGTTATTTTTTTTTAATAAAATCATCTCCTTAATTCATATATCTTTAATCATATAAATTAGTAATGTTCAGAACTTCTAGCTTTCATATTCATAACCTTCAAATAATTTAATATACAAATTTATGACACCTTAAAATCACACTTATAAAAACTTATTTTGAAACGTATATGGTTACTTTATTTCCGTTTCTTCTTATTCTTCATTTTTTGTCTCTTTGGTTGATCAATTTTGTCTTCTTTGATGAGATCTGGCAGTAGAGAGATCCACAATGAAGATTGTTAGGCATTCTTGTCTAGTTCAATTTTACGAGGTAAAATGATTTGATATATTTATTATAATTATTATTTTTTCTTTGTTGCAATTATACATTTAATATTAATTTTTTTCGATTCTTAATAATACAAATTATGAACTTTTTTAGATAAATGAGTTAATTTTTCTCTTTGCTTCTCTTTGTAGTTTTTTAAGAAATGGATTAAGTATTATGTTGATAACATAGTCCTTCTTTCCTCTTTTAACTCCCAATTAAGTATTCTTTAAAGTTTTTATTTGATTAGTTAACTTCATTTTTTTATTTTTTATTTTTGTAAAGTTAACTTATTGTGTTTTTAGGTAAAGATATTTTTGAAAAGAAGCAAAAAGGAAGTCAACATATACATATATGCTACTCAAGAAATTATGTATATTTATTTTTATAGTTATGTAGATCCAACTTTAAACAATTATAATGATAGAGCACAAGAATGTTATGCTAATTTATAATTTTCAAAATGCAGTTTAATTCATAAAAAAAGTTGTTTATTGATATGTAGCTTTGTAGTCTTCATATTTTTAATTTCTCTTATTATTGTTAGAAGTTTTGTTTTTGAGATTTCCAGAGATCACTAATACGATCTTTTGGGTTTGAACTCAAAACGTAAAAGTATTTGATTAGGATAAAAAAATGAGTTAGTAAAATTGTTTATCTCTCTCAATCTGCTTTCTTTATCAACATAGGAATCATCTAGAAGAAAAAAAATGACGTGGCACCTTTCTTTGATAAAAAATTATATTTATCTTTTTTTTATTATTCTTTTGTTTGTTTATTTACTGTTATTGCACAAAAATGAATGTGTCAATTACTACTCCTTCATTTTTTATTTATTTTTGGTTTCCCACCCGGTGTTCGGTACCCACATTGGAGACCGATTAAATCTGGATTCACGCCGAAAAGTCCCATATTGAGGGGTAAAATGCTCTCTAACAAAGGCAACTCCATACCCAAGGGGGCTCGAACCCGAAACCTCCTTCATTTATTCATTTTCTTTAATATAAAAACTTAATTGTTTTTTTTTTTTTCTACTTTCATGACTTTTGATGATCATTACTCTTAATTTTATTGATAATCATGTTCATGGTATCTTTTAATGTTCCATTTATTGTTGTCCTATAAATAGAGGGCATGGATGGCAATGGGGCAGAACGGGTTGAGCTAAACTTGCAAAAATTTTAATCCACTTTGCCCCGCACAACAATTTCTTTTCTTTTTTGATCCGCTTCCCAGCGCCCGCATAATTTTTTAAATATTTTTTTTCTAGTTAAGTTTGATACAAAAATAAAATTCATAAAAATAAATTCATTTTTCATTAAGTTATATTAATTTAACAGACAATGACTTAAAAATTATTTTTTAGAGATCAATTGAGGAACATGTAAAAGATTGTATTACTTTTTATTGAACTATTTTCATTTACTATCTTAGATATTTTAGTAGCTTTAAAAAAATTATCATAATAAATAATGTTTTATCACTCTTATAATATGTAGAAAGTTAAAATTAAGTTTGAACCTGCATAAAATCACATATACCCGCAAGCCGACCTGCTTCATATTAGTTTTAAAAATCCATTTCAATCCGTTCCGTATTCCTCCCGCTCCGCACAACCTTAGATTCGCCCCATCCCACATTGCTTTAAACCCACTCTGCTCCGCATCCGCCCTGTCCCGCCCCATTAGTATAAGTTATGCATGGACAAGGTGGTGTGAAAAGCAAATGAGGGGTATTTTAAGGAATATAACAAAATATAAATTATAAGAATATGATAATTTGATTCTACGGTAAAAAATGTGCTTAAGAGGATTTAAACCATACATTAAAAAAAAACTTGAAAAATTCTTTAACTCTTCTCTTATTGATGGAGAAAAACTTCAAATTTCATTATTTAATTTTCTTAACAACAAATTTATATTCCAATGACATAAATGTAATGTGAATAAGGACAATAAATAGCAATATTTTTTTTCCTTTTTCCTTCTACAATAATAAATTGAGTATATAATTAATTTTTTTATTATTAAAAACAAAAGCAAAACATTTTTATCACTACATCAAAAAAGGTAATAAAATTAAAGATATAATTTCATAACGCGTGGCGTGATATGTACGCATATGCGGTAATAACCCTCACATCACTTGTGTATATATATAGAACTTTTGACCAAAATAAGCTATTTTAAAAACCAATTCACCAAACTAATATGTTTTTAATTTTTACAAAAGTAGTATAAACGTACTTCATGGTAACGTTTTAGGTTATTTTTATTTTAAAAATTCAACGGACAAAAACTGACGGAGCTGATGACGTTAAATGAATAAACGTTACTGTGAGTAACGTTTTAGGTGTAAAACGTTACTCACAATAACGTTTATTGAGAATCCAATCACGTCAACCAGGGGCGGATCTACGTTCAACGAAGGGGGTTCATCCGAACCCCTTCGTCGAAAAATTACACTATATATATAAGATTAAATTTTGAATAGATGTGTATATATATACTATTGAACCCCCTGAACATACACCAAAGACGTAGCTCAGTGGCGTTGGGGGTTCATGAATTTGCTCTACTGCACGCGAGGTCGCGTGTTCGAATCCGGGCAGAGGCATTTTGTTTTATCAGCTTATTTCAGGCGTTTTATTTTTTTAAAATAAATAATAATGCAATCAGAAAATGATGTTTAGGCGTTTTATTTTTTTAAAATAAATAATAATGCAATCAGAAAATGATGTTTAGGCGTTTTATTTTTTTAAAATAAATAATAATGCAATCAGAAAATGATGTTTAGGCGTTTTATTTTTTTAAAATAAATAATAATGCAATCAGAAAATGATGTTTAGGCGTTTTATTTTTTTAAAATAAATAATAATGCAATCAGAAAATGATGTTTAGTTCCAAAAAATTAAAACGCTGATTGAGAATTTAGGATTTATTAGTTTAATCCCTAATTATAAAGTTACACCTAAAACGTTACTATGAGTAACATTTTAAATTTGCAGGATTTGTTTCTGCATTTGCAGGGCTGACGTGATTAGATTCTCAATAAATGTTATTGTGAGTAACGTTTTACACCTAAAACGTTACTATGAGTAACATTTTAAATTTGCAGGATTTGTTTCTGCATTTGCAGGGCTGACGTGATTAGATTCTCAATAAATGTTATTGTGAGTAACGTTTTACACCTAAAACGTTACTATGAGTAACATTTTAAATTTGCAGGATTTGTTTCTGCATTTGCAGGGCTGACGTGATTAGATTCTCAATAAATGTTATTGTGAGTAACGTTTTACACCTAAAACGTTACTATGAGTAACATTTTAAATTTGCAGGATTTGTTTCTGCATTTGCAGGGCTGACGTGATTAGATTCTCAATAAATGTTATTGTGAGTAACGTTTTACACCTAAAACGTTACTCACAGTAACGTTTATTCATTTAACATCGTCAGCTCCGTCAGTTTTTGTCCGTTGAATTTTTAAAATAAAAATAACCTAAAACGTTACCATGAAGTACGTTTATACTACTTTTGTAAAAAATTTAAAAAGCGTATTAGTTTGGTGAATTGGTTTTTAAAATAGCTTATTTTGGTCAATGCTTCATATATATATATATGAGCGGGCCAATGTCGTCGTAACAATTTAGGCGCGAGCAGGGAATCCAAATTAGGGTTTTTGCTGTTGTTGTCTCCGTAGAAAAGTAATCAACAGCATTTACAATGCTGTTCGAAAAGGTCTGTTGTATGAATCCTTTTTTTATTCAATTCTTGATTGAAGTTAGAGAATTATAAGATTACCCATGTTTTTTTCAAGATCGCAGCCTTGAATCAAGAAAAACTGAAAAAGTTTTTTCTATGTTGTGATTGTATTTACATAACCAGATGGATGGTATCAAGAACAACTGTTGGTGGAAAAAGTAAACAATTAGTGTAATGGGAATATCACTTGGCGATAATTGGGAAATTATGATAATAAAAGGTATATCGTGAGAACTTCTTGTTAATTCAATTCTTGATTGGAGTTAGAGAATTGTTAGATTATCAGTGTTAATTTTTAAGTGATTGCAGCATTGAATCAAGAAAACTGGAACACTTTCTGACCTTAAAATTGTTCTTGTTATTCAATTCTTGATTGATGTTAGAGAATTATTAGATTATCAGTGTTATTTTCAAGTGATTGCAGCATTGGATCAAGAAAACTGAAACACTTTCTGTTTCTGACCTTAAAATTGTTCTTGTTAATTCAATTCTTGATTGAAGTTAGAGAATTATAAGATTACCATCACACTTTCCAACGTTAAGTTTTTTCTTGTTAATTCAATTCTTGATTGAAGTTAGAGAATTATTAGATTATCAGTACACTTTCCTACCTTGAATTTTTTTTGTTAATTTCATTCTGGATTGAAGTTAGAGAATTATAAGATTAAAATTACACTTTCCAACCTTAAACTTTTTCCTGTTTATTCAATTCTTGATTGAAGTTAGGGAATTATTAGATTATCAGTGCACTTTCCTACCTTGAAATTTTATTGTTAATTCAATTCTTGATTGAAGTTAGAGAATTATAAGATTATAAATACAATTTCCAACCTTAATTTTTTCTTGTTAATTCAATTCTTGATTGAAGTTAGAGCATTGTTAGATTATCAGTGTTATTTTTACGTGGTTGCCGCATTGAATCAAGAAAACTGAAACACTTTCCAACCGTAAATTTGTTCTTGTTGTTCGATTCTTGATTGAAGTTAGAGAATTATTAGATTATCAGTGTTATTTTCAAGTGATTGCAGCATTGAATCAGGAAAACTGAGACACTTTCCGACCTTAAAAATTAGTTTTGTGTTTGTAAGTCCCTCAAAACAGTCAACGTTCTTAAGTTCTCAATTTGTTTGATTGTAGTTCAATCTGGATTCTCTGGCTTTTGTGTGTGTGTGCCCTCTTAGCTGCATCGTTCTTGAATCAATTATTACAGTATGGACCCAGACCAAGTTGTTGCTGAATTGGTTGGAATGGGATTTAAGTTATCTGATTTTACAAATTCTGTAGAAGTTGTGGGTCCATCAATTGATGGTGCGATTGATTATCTACTTGATGATTCTCGACGAAACACTGCAGGTGCATCAACTAGTACTGCATGTTTCAGCAGCCGTGCTGGTATGCTGGGAAAAAGAGGATCCTCTTCTTCATCTTGTTCTGCAGGCAAAATACGGCAATCAAGCATAAACAAATTCATTCAATCAGCAATTAGACCTAAAAGAAGCAAGACAATGAATAAGTTGAATATGTCTCGATTAGAAGTCTTGCAAAGCGATACCGGAGGTCAAAATGTGCATCCTCCTCTAGAGGATTCTGATCTCCACGTTGCAATTGAAAAAGCTGTATCATCATCTTATTACAAAGATGAAGATATTGGACCAGATTGGCAAAACCGCAAAAGAAGGTCAAGAATTTGTTGCAGAAACACTTTAGACTTTCATTGTTGAAGGATTTTCAGAAGGAAGCTCTAGAAGCTTGGTTGTCTCACCAAGACTGTCTTCCTGTTGCAGCCCTCACACTTTTTCTTTCTTCACCATTCTCTCCCTTCCTGTAAAATATGATTTTGGATGTCTTGGAGTTATGTTTCTGTAGGGAAATACTGGGAAGGTTGTCATTGTTATATTGGACCAGATTGGCAAAAGAAGGTCAAGAATTTGTTGCAGAAACACTTTGGACTTTCATTGTTGAAGGATTTTCAGAAGGAAGCTCTAGAAGCTTGATTGTCTCACCAAGACTGTCTTGTTCTTGCAGCAACAGGATCAGGTACTAGCCCCTCACACTTTTTCTTTCTTCACTATTCTCTCCCTTCCTGTAAAATATGATTTTCGATCTCTCGGAGTTATGTTTCTGTAGGGAAACCTTTGTGTTTTCAGATTCCGGCATTGCTGACTGGGAAGGTTGTCATTGTTATATCACCGCTGATTAGGTTGATGCATGATCAGTGTTTGAAGTTAGCAAAACATGGTGTTTCTGCTTGCTTCCTTGGATCTTGTCAAACTGATCGAAGTGTTGAACAAAAAGCAATGGCAGGCGTGTATAGCATCATTTATGTATGCCCTGAGACAATTTTAAGGTATTGAGCATGTTAATCTTTTGAATTGTACTTCAAGGATACTATTGGTTGTTGTTTGACAGATGAGTTTCCTGGGCTTTTTTTCCTTTTCTTTCAGACTCATAAAACTCCTCCAAAGCCTTGCAGAAAGTCATGGCATTGCTCTAGTTGCAGTCCATGAAGTTCATTGTGTTTCTAAGTGGGGACATGATTTTCCACCAGATTACAGGTTTATATTCTTCTATTTGTTTGATAAATCAGATCAATGCTATTTATTGAAATTGGTGAAAAAATTTCAGCACTGAGTAAGTCCTTTGATATAAGATGAATCCTATAGTCTCTTTTCCTAGAGTGCAAATAAATAAAAAGGAACTTCTTATGACCAAGCCAACTACAGTCTTTGCAGGTGGTAGTTCACATTGGGTGTGGGGTGGGGTGGGCTCACCTTCCGAATTCTGGTTCTATGTTTGTTTAGGCACTTGATCAGTTGAAGCTCAAGGAGCCTCTGCTGTTTCTGTTACTACTGACAAGCAATTATCGATTTTTTTCTCCTCGTTAATCTAGTAACACACCACAACAACTTTCTTAAGTTCCTTGAGTTTTGTTATCATTCTGTTGTGAAGATTACACAACCATTAACTCGATTTGTCAAAGTCCAAAAGCCACTTCAGAAACCTTGAAAATTATTGTGTAAGCATAGGAAATTTTGAAAAATTCAATGTTAGTTACCTTAGTATGGATTGAAACAATTCCTCTTGTTTTGTCGTAGTTGCAGCAGTACTTTCATCTACAATGTGAAGTGTTTAAGTTTCAATTTACTCACTTGCAACAACCACTGGACAATCTAACGTCACATCGGTGTAAGATTGTTTAGTATGAGATTTCAAGAGGATAAAACCTTAGCTTGAGATAGATAAGCCCCTGGCAATGGATAAAAGAAAAAACCTTGCTTCATCTTATCCTATGACACAACTCTCTTAATATATGATCAAAAGACCACATTAGATAACTCTTAATACAAAGTGTCTTCTTGAAGGTACTTAGTTTAGAAAGAAAAGTAAACATAATAATGACACAGGTAACAATTAAGGAAGAAGTTGATGATAGGATTTTAGTGCACTTACTAGGAAAATAGATATGGTGAAAGGAAATCTGACATTGTCATAATATTACTATATGAATAGCTTTGGTGATAAGCAACCTCATGCCTTCTCCTGTGTTTAGCAGAGTTTATCCTGCAGTGCATAAAGTTTGATTTTGATACACTTACACCAAATGCTCTCTTATTCAACTTAAATTATCCAGAAGAATCATGTTTATGTATTGATCTGAGACATCGGCTCCCAAGGGCACTACATGTATTTTTAAGCTGTTTAATTTTTTTGTGAAACAGTTCTGTATGCAAACTTGTCAAGAACACCTACGCTTCTACCAAGTCAAAGAAGTGAGGAGCAAACAAAACAAGCATAAAAGATGTTATCTGATTGATTTAGGTTGTAAGCTAATTATTAATTGAACGACTTCAATTAGTACTTTGGTTTCCATCTTATGTGTTGGTTATGTTCAACAGATATGGAATGAACACTTCTTGCTATAGAGCCAAGACACTTGTGGAGTACTTTGGCGAGCACTTTCTTTTGGAGATATATCTCGTGTATGTCAAGACACACTGGCTATTGTGCTTTTTCTTTTGTTCCTTACGAGCTGCTTCATGTCAAGGATGTGTGCTTGTGCTTCTCTGTTGATTTTCTTCCACTTTTCTTTTCAGGGTGGGCTATTAATTTGTTTCTAATATTTGATTCCTCTTAAGTTAGTCTCTAAATTGAGGTTTCTGGTACTCGTTTTATCACAGGACATGCCACATAAAAGAGAGATTCATTTGTAGCAGTTTGAAGTAAAAAATGACTTCCTATGCATGTAAACATGTGCCAATTGCATCCCATTGCTAAATATCTTTTTCAATTCATGCTTACTGATGTTTGCCTTTATCTCTGAGTAAAGTCAATTTTTGCTCAAGAAAATAGTTGTTTATCATAGGTTTTCTTACTTGCAATGAGAGTTCAGTTTCTTAGTTTATGTCATTTACCTGGCACATAATGCACAGGTGTGATATATGCATCAAAGGTCCACCTGAAAGACAGAATTTAAATGCTGAGGCGATGATCATCTTGCAAGTTGTTGCTACTCATTGTGTGAGTACGTCTGCCATCTCACATTTGCTTGCCCTCCTTCGTACTTTGTCATCTCATTTTGGCATTGCTGGTCATTGTTAATCCTTTCTGGCGCAGAGGAATTTTGCAGACATCTCCTATGGTGGTTATGAAGGGAGACTTGGCGAGAGGCCAAATATCAAGGCTTTAGTCAGCAGAATTAGAGAACAGGTGCTTATTATGCTCAAGGCCCTCTCTCTACCTCTTATCCCTTGCTATCTGCTAGTTTGATGTGCATGCCCCATTGAAAATTCTCCCTTGCTATCTACTAGTTTGATGTGCATGCCCCATTGAAAATTCTCCGCGAGGGCCCTTTTAGAAAGCATGTCTGCCAAGGGATATGACAAAGAACCTGCAAATCTTCCTTCAATTTGAATGAGCTTCTTGTTACCAGTTTCTGGGATCTTTCATCCCCTGCCAATAGAGTTCCCTGGAGATATATCATGTTTGTAATTTGGATTGCTCTTGAAGAGCTTTCTTCAAAATCTTTTTCGACATCAATCATATGTTGGGATGCTTAATAATAATCTGCAATTCCCGTCTTATGGTGTAAAGCTACTACGTCATACTGAAAATAGGTTCAACTTGTCGAGCAGCTGTCCTCCTGCTACATGTTACTCTACTCTTAACAAGGTCGTGTTTCATTTTGCTCATCTCATAAGTGCCAATTTTCTTTTACAGAAAACTTTGTCAATCCGCTGTGCATTTATTCTGGTATACTATACCACTTTAAATTTATTCATTTTGTAGAGAGTATCTTTAAGTTACTCATTGTTGCTAAGGCTCTTTTGTATTTTACCGTTTCCTATTGCAACTCTAATCTTGTCATTTGTCTTCTGTGTATTTTGTTGTAGTATCAACAATTTAGTGCAAGTGACCTCTTGTGGTGGAGAGGTCTTGCTCGACTGTGGGAAGTTGAAGGATTTATTAGGGAGGGCTATGACATGGTATGCTTTCTGCATAGTAACCTTAGTTACTTCATATAAGGTTGTACCAACTAAGTTTTGGCACTATGTTTCTCAAATCCATCCATTCTTCGTTACTTTTATGACCCATCTGATATATCCTTCTCATTTTATACTTTACTCACTGCTGAAAACTCTGATTTTAGAATCATGTACGATGTGGCAGCCTAGCAGGGAGTGAAAACAAATACTTGGAAACCTTTCTAATTTTCTATTGGTCTAATGAAGGTTCAAGTTGGTTTATTCTATATGTTTAAGTCAAGAAGTTTCACTAACAAACATCAGGTTGGTGCCAAAAAGTAGTACCCTTACGTAAGGATTATACTGCGCCCAATTTTTATTAAATACAAGGTGCTCATTGAATGCAAGATGCACACATGACTTTGCTGGAGTCATACATTATCTTCCACCAAATTTGACCAACTATCCATACATATGCTATTTTTCTGTCATACCAAAAATACAAGTGAAATAGAAAAGATCTAATACTTTCTCTGTCATTCGCACTATTATGAAACATTCGCCTGTTTGTACATATTTCGTTTGTTCTGTATACTTCAAAAGACACGAGGCGGTTTTGTCTTCCAAGCTGCCTTCCTTCCATTGCCTATCCTCTCCAATCTCCAACTTGTAATTGTTTCCTCCGCTGTCGGTGATTACACCCCACAGATGATAAGGAATGAGAATGCAACACTCAATAGTTGTATAGCCAACTACCAATGCAACGAGAGATGATTAGTATCTTCTCCAGATTCTTCACACATACATACCAACTCACAAATATTCTCCTCCTTTTTCTTGTGTTGTCCACTGTTAAAATTTCATCTTGCACTGCACACCAAACAAGAAAAGTTGCTTCGGAAATTTGATGTTTCAAACCTTTTTCCACATATTGCTATTATATCCCATTTCTGACAACTCTAGAATAGTCTAGATCATAGGTTTCAATGGTCTTTAGCACCCACGCCTCTATTTCAGTTTATCCCCTCACTCATCCTCGGTTGGATAATTATATTATTTCTGAAAGTGAAGCAGTACTGTTGTTATAAATTGAAATGTCCTGGATATGAGTTTCTTTTAATTTAAGAAAGAGGTCGAGGGTTTTGGGACAAAGTAAAAAGACAAAAGATGATTTTATTGGGACAGGACTGCCTTATGATAAGATTGTCTCCCAGGAAAACTGCAGTAGTTTGAAACTGTCACTAAGAATAAGACGTTTAATTACCCTTTTGCTTGGTTTGTGCTATATTTGTGATTTGCTTGTTTTACTTTATCCGTCTGATTCCTCCTACTTGATGGAGAATGTGGAAAGATAGAACTAGTCAAACGTGTGGAAGTTTGATTGTTAAAACAGCTGTTGTTTCCTTGGAACTATGGTTTCACGACAATATTAAAATGATGCATCTTTAGCGGTATATTTCTTCTGGGAGGGGGTGGGGGGTGGTAAAGGTTTTCATTTGGTGCCTTATTTTCCACTTTCTTTATGTTATGTTACCTTTGAAATCAATCTTGAACTTGGAGTATGTTTGTATGTGGTTATTTTCAATGATACGGATGATCATTTATAGCGAATGTTACCGACCGTGTGCAGATAAAATATCCAGAAGTAACAGAACGTGGAAGGCAGTTCCTGAGTTCTGAAACATAGCAGCCATTCCATGTTTATCCTGAAGTAGATATGTTGCTGTCCATGACAAGTCCCAACCCCTTTTCCAGTTTTGCTGAATGGCAAAGAAAGCGAACTTGGAAATCTCCAAGAAAACAAAAATCACGTAAACGTAGCCTGATTCTAATACGGTTCGAGGAAGATTGACTGCCATGCTAACAAAAAAGTGGCACAAAGTGATGTCTATGTAAACTTAGCTTGCATTGAGAAGGAAGCTCTTAAGGTTTATTTAGGATTGAAAATAAGAGAAACACTTCTATAATACGTCATCTCCGGATCTGTGTTTGCCTGCCCCCCTAATTAGTTAACTTTAGTGGCACCATTAACAAGAAGAAGCGCATCTGGTGTAGTGGTATCATATTACCATCCCACGGTACTGACCGGGGTTCGATTCCCCGGATGCACACTCAATTCATTTTTAACTTTTTTCCTTTCTGGAATATAATTCACTTCAAGCAAGTGATATGAAGTTATGCCCCTATTGATTCAAAGCAAAGAATCAATTCCCCTTTCTATTTACTTCAGCAACTCATCTACTTTAGATGAATTCTTAACAGAGCCTCAATGTATTTTAACAACATTACTTTTGCAATTATAGGCTTCACATCATCATTCTTGCTATACTTGCCAATCTTGAGGAAAAGGCAAAAGAAGCAAATAGCAGCATAGAAATTGAGGATAATAACACACGCATTAGAACAAGCTGAGGGCAGAGTTTTAAGGTATGAAGAAAGATACTTAACCAAATATGTTCACATTGCTGGTGCTCGAGAAGCGATGAATGAAGCATTAGAATTTGCAGTTCGAAGTTAGCAGATTGTACCCTGATGATTATGAAAGTGCTTCAAGCCCTGTTTGGTTAATTGGAAAATCAAGAAGACAAAGGAACAATAATAATTAGCATAGATCAACATACTATTTCCTTTCATCTCTGAAGATTTGCAATATTCCTTTTCTTTACATTGAAATCTTTGCAAATTTTGGCAATTTGTCTAATATGTGATTATCATCATGCTAGTAAGGGTGTTCACAATATTAGCATCAACAACAATAATAATTACTTTACTACGTCCCAGTTTCCAAACAAGTTGGATTGGCTATATGAATATACACTTCTTTGTTTAAGCTCGGATTATATCATTATCAAGAGGGAATCACAAATCACAACAAAATAAGTTAGAAATTTCAGGGTGGGAAAGATAGTAACATACGTAATAAAGAAAAAAAAACAGAGAAATATGTACCAATAAACTTTTTTCCTAAGTTCGCGAAATTATCCTTAATCGAGAGGAAAAATAAAAGTTGTATTTGTTTAAAGAAAAAATTTAGGGGTTATATGTAATTTAAGGTTGTTTTGTGCACAAATGTGAAATAAGTTTCTCCAAAATGGTACAAATAATATTGTTTGCATTCCTAATACCAAAACAGTCCGCTGTAGCACTGGCAATTCTATCTTATTGAAGAATCCGGGTTCAAATCCCGGCAGCGGAATTTTTTAAATACATATTTTTCCCTTTATCGTTTGTGTAACATTATCTTTTTCAAACTTTCAATAAATAAATGTGAACATTCCCAATATTATTAACAATTGCAAACATTTAAGTTAGATTTATTTGTACTTAATGAAGGTCATTTTTTAGATCTTAATTTTAAGTGTATTCATTTTTTAATGTTGCAATCACTTAATTAATAAATATATTTCTATCGTGATTATAGAATATAGATTTAACATAAATATATTTTTACTAGTGAACTTGTTCGCGCTTCGCCCGATTATTAAAGACGATAAGATATCAATAATTTTATTAAATATAATATAGATAAAAGAGGTGTGCATATATATACACATTACACATATAATTGATTTCATAGAAGAAACTTTTAATTAGTAGTTTTAGTAGATTCCAACAAAGTCATATGTTACTATTTTGAACTAAAATAAATTATAAATTTATGACAATTAGATATTCATATAAAATAAATTGAAATTATAGTGAAAACATAAAATAAAATAATGCAACATCACTCTTATGACCTTAATCACTGAAAAAATAGAAGAAGAAACAATACGAACTCAATGCACATTCCTATGAGATTTTGTCCATATCCATTCAAATGAGTCGATCGTCATTCAATATCCTTCATCTTATTATTAAGTCAAATTAAAGCATGAATATAATAAATTTAATAACTTAAAAGACTAATTTAATAATTTCTATAGAGTCTTGTAATATATATATTTATAGGACTAAAATATCATATAAAGTCATGAGTATGACTTAAAATTATTTTAGAGGTTATGATAATAAAAGGTTGTGTGAGTAATAAAAAAACAGATCATTGAGTTTTACGATAAAGAACAAGAATGAATTTTCAATGACATATTTATTATTTTACAATAATAGAGAAGTAGGAGAATTTATCAAAAATCATGAAAAAAAATTAGTGTAAATTTCATATATGACATATATTATAGTACTATTTTCAAGCTATAACAGTAGATTTAGACTTTCAAGCTATAGCATTAAAAATTTCAGGTTATAACAAGTTAAAAAAAAAGAAATGTTTTTATTAATTGGAAAAAACTTAAAAATAAATAAAAAGATAAACGAAATTTAAAAAAAAAACGGAATTAGAAATAATAAAGTAAAAAACTGAAATTGTGGGTTGTAATTTAATTTGAATTTATTGTAGATAATTAATGATTAGCATGAAATAAGGGATCCAAACTAATTAAGAATATTCAGTTTCCTTAATTCACTCTAATTTGTTAAAAT